TTTTTTGCTTGCTTGCTTTGCTTTTTGAGACAGGGTCTTGCTAAGTTGCCCAGGCTGGCCTTGAAGCATACTATCCTCTTGTCTTAGCCTCCCGAGTAGCTGAGACTGCAGGCTTTAAGTGTGGTTTTATTTTCCTCAGAGGGCTTGTCAATCAGTTAAATTGCTCCTTCATGTGGCCTGATTCTTCCTGATTCCTATGCTATCCAGAGGGCACAGGGTCCCAGCTCTGTGACTAAGTAGGCATTGGCCGTACCCAGCAGGCGCTCCCTAAGAACTGTTCGAAGTGAACGAAGAACCCGGGACGTCGCTCAATCCGGGGTTCCTCCAGGTTCAGGTGGGCGGAGCCAGGCGAGCGAGCGGCCCCGCCCACGGTGACCCCGGCGGAGACGCGCCCCGGGGCACCTGCTGCGCGGCTAGCCCGCCGGGAGGGCGGAAACTTCGGGGCCGGAACGGGTGCGCCGGAACCGTGAGGCGGGGGGCCGCTTACCGCGTCGGACCGCGGCCCGGGAGGGCGAGGGGCGGGCGCACCGGCGGCGGGCGGGATGGCCGGGCGGCGGGTGAACGTGAATGTGGGCGTGCTGGGCCACATCGACAGCGGCAAGACTGCGCTGGCCCGGGCGCTGAGCACCACGGCGTCCACCGCCGCCTTCGACAAGCAGCCCCAGAGCCGCGAGCGCGGCATCACGCTGGACCTGGGCTTCTCGTGCTTCGCGGTGCCGCTGCCCGGCGCGGCTGAGCCCGAGGAGACGCTGCTGCAGGTCACGCTGGTGGACTGCCCGGGGCACGCCTCGCTCATCCGGACCATCATCGGCGGTGAGCGGGCCGGGTGGGCGGGCAGGCGGGCGGGCCCGTCGGGAACGCGCGCGCGTCACGCGCACGAACGAGGCGGAGACGCCAGCCCGCGCGGGGACGCGGCCGAGTCGCCAAGAAGTCACCGCGCACCGTGCTCCCGCTCCCCATGCGCGACACTCCCCACATGTCTGTGTATCTTTTCTCGAGAACTCTGGAAAAACAAGCAAGGGGTGTTTGCATACATCGTTCTTCTCCCCTGTATAAACCATTTCAGCCCGGTCAGGAGAGGTCACTGTATCTGTGCTTGCAAACGCCACAGTTCTTTTGAAAGCTCACTTAGAGTTCTGTTGGAGACTCCACGCAACAGTCTGTCAACTGAGAAACTCTCTCTGTCTTTTATGGTCCCAGGGCCTACATCTCCGTGCTACACCTCCATTCTCCTTAAAGTTTAAAAAAATTTTTGAGACATCTTGCTAAGTCCGTAAGTTGCCCAGGCTGGGCTTGACTTTGACCATCCTGTGGCCTCATCCTCCCAGAGTGCTGGGATTACAGGCATGTGCCACCATGCCTGGCCTTACCTGATATCCTAGTGATGGACCTTTCTGTTATCCGGTAGTTTGTTTCTGAGCAGTGGCTCCCCAACTAAACGTTATCAGGCTAAGGGTTGCTCACCTCTCTTAGGGTTCTTCTCATCTGGAACAATGAACTGAAAGAAACAAGCAAAAAGCAGCGGCGAAGTTTATTCGAAAAAGTAAAAATGAACAGTGGGAAAGAAACTGGCCCTGCAGAGCAGGCTTGGGCCAAGTAAAGAGAAGAAGAGGGAGAGAGCAAAGATAAAAGTACATGCTCTGTCTGGGAAACAGTGTGGGATACTGTGGAAAGTTATGATAGCATGGCTCCTTATGGCTGCCTTTTATGCTGTCTCAATCTCAAGAAACCCATGAGAATTTCTGTATCCGGGTCCTGCAAGGTGGTGTTGAGACCCTGTGCTCCAAGCTAAGGTCTACCTTAGGCCGTTCTATGGAAAACCTGCTCAGTTCTCCAGAAGGGGTCTTATAATTAACAGGTCAGCCCACTTCCCCAGCCAGCTTTTGCCATGCCTTAATATCCTACCTCATTTCTGCCCCAGGGTTTGCTAACCCTGCTGCAGTGCATATTGAACAGAAGTCTTGATTTGTAGACTTGGTTACTGTACTAGCAGGCTTAGCTGGAACTGACCTGCCCGGGGTGAAGGGTGTGTATTTTCAGTCATTATGGGTATTGCTAAAATACCCTCCCAAGACATTGTGCTGTTTAAAGAATCTTTAATTACAGAAAATGCAAAAATACATGCTACTTACGAAGAGGTGGAAAATTACAAATAAGGCAAAAGTCCTCTTTTGTCAATTTTGGATCCCTCGTATCTCTCTGGGCTACACACATGGGGCAGATGATTACTGGTCGGGTGGAAGGTGGCCTCATGGGTTCCAGGGCCTTCTGGGTCCCAGCTGGAGTGGTGAGTTTGTTGCTTTGATCTCTTCACTCCCACACTCCATCCTCAGGCAGTCTGGATTCTTTCCCCATTTTACTGTAGTGGCAGCCGAGGCTTGAAGTAGTGATGAAACTTAGGCAAGTCTAAAATCTACTCAATCCATGTTTCACGCATTAGAAAATGAGTATTAAGGGGCATAGGATTCTCTACTATCCCCCACCTTCTTTTGTTTTTTGATACAGGGTCTCCTATGTAGTTTAGGTTGGTCTTGAACTCACTATGTAGCCCAGGCTTGCCTTAAACTCATGGCAGTCCTCCTGTCTCAGCCTCCCAAGTGCTGGGATGACAGGCATTCACCACCACTCCAGTCTCCCCTCCTTATAATTGAATTTTTTCTGGTTGTACTTAAATACATTTTAGGACATGTACTCTAAGCTAGTCTACACTGGAAGTGGAAGATATAGGTTTAAAAAAAGAGAAGGCAAATTTTTTATTTTTTCTAGTGAATACAGAGAGAATTTGATTTACAGTGATTCAGCTTATGACTGTTCAACTTTATGAAGATGTGAAAGCGATAGATTCAGTAGAAACTGTACTTAGAACTTTGATCTTTTCTGGGCTGAAGGTATGTGACAGGTTCTTGTGATGCAGGGCACTGGCAGCGAGCTGCAGCTTGCTGTGTGCCAGGAGATTGTGAAGGAGGCGCTGTGCGGTGATGGTGTTCAATGGTGGTCTTTGGTAGGTTCAGTGAAGAGCATGTTCCACGTAGTGACCTTTCAACCTCCGATTCCTTTATTGGGACACAGCCCTTTATGATTCGAGGAGCATCTGTGATTTAGGCCAGTGTCAAGGACATGCTTTTGGAGTGGGGCAGATCTAGGCGTGAAGGCTGGCTTCCTTCCTACCCAGCTGTGTGACCTTAGAACCTAATTCAGGACCTCCCATCACTGCTAGATATGAAAGCCATGTAGGCATTTACCGACTCTTCCAGAATGTTTGCTACTTCCCAGGCAAGCCCTGTGAGGAGTGTGGTGGTTTCCATGTAACTGTTCAGGAAATGGGGAGCAGCTGGTCAGTGACCGAGTCAGTGCCTGACCCCGAGGTCAAAGCCCTTTCCACACTTTCCCTACACCTTCCAGTATAGGTGCGGAGAGGCCCTTCCTGGGGCCAACAGAGTTTGGTACTGGCCTGATTCTATAACCAAATGTTATAGACCCTAACCCCAAACAATTGGGTAAGTCCTTGTTTTTTTGTTTTTTGTCGTTTTGAGATAGGGTCTTGCTATGCAGTTCAGGCTGGCCTTTTTTTTTTTTTTTTTTTTTTTTGGGGTGCTGGGCATCAAACTCAGGACCTTATACTTGCCAGGCAGGCAGATGTGCTGCTGAGCTAGATCCCCAGCCCCCAGGCTGGCCCTGAGCTCACTTTGTAGCCCAGGCTGGTCTCGAACTTGCAGTGATCCTTCTACCTCAGCCTCCTGAGTGCTGGGATTACAGGTGTGTGCCAAAGTCTTAGAAGAACTTTTTCTTTTCTTGCATATACATATTTGCTCTTATTGCTTTACTCTCACCTGCTACAGCATCAAAGTGTGGCTTGGGTACATTGCCACAGTGAGACTAAAGTGGCTACCGTTCTTCCTTCCCACCTTCCTGGGGAACGAGAAGAAGTTTACTTTCTGTTCAATGGAAGAGTGCTCCCGTTTGAATATGCACTCTATCCCAGCCTGCTGCCCTCAGTCGCATGTATGTGACAGCCTGTGTGTTGGGAGTCTTAGCCTCCTTTTCAGGTGCTTGGCAGGTAGAGTGTGGGGGTTGATGTTGGAACCAACTCTGCTGTGCCTGAGCTGGAACAGTGAAGACCCTCAGCTGTCCTTGTGAGCCATAAGTCACAGACACCTTTGCCTTCTTGATGTGGCCAGATCCTCTTTTTTGAGGCGAGGGGGTACCTGGACCTTGCACTTGCCAGGCAAGCACTTGTGCCGCTGAGCTATATCCCCCCTCCCTTTTTTTTTTTTGAGAGATGGTTTTGCTGAGCAGTTCAGCCTGGCCTTGAGCTCCCTATGTAATCCAGACTGGCCTTGAACTGGTGATCCTCCTGCCTCTGCCTCCGAAGTGCTAGGATTACAGGTATGTACCACCATGCCCGATGGAGCATGACCAGATCTTGGTTTAAGGTACCTGAAATCCTGTCTTCCTGGACCCAGCCTGCTTGCCTTCTTTCCATCTGCTTTATTCTCCGTGTAGCTGGCAGTGTACTCCCTTTAGAGACGTGCATCAAGACATTGAGGCTTTTTAGTGGTTCCTATAGCACTTAAAGGAAGAGCTAGTTTCTTTGTCAGGCCCCCAGGACCCACAGCCTGATTCCCTTCTCTCTGAGCCTCCTTGGCCACTGCTTTCTCTGGATGCCCACTTTCAGCCACCAGCGCCTTTCTACACCTTACATGGGTCAAGCCACTGCTTCCCTCTGCACCTGTGGTGGCCTCTGTGTGGTATGTTTGCTTCTTGATCGTTACACCTTGGCCTGAATGTCTCCTCCCAGAGCAGCCTTCCCTACCCACCTGTCCTCAAATTCTGTCCTGTCCCTGTGTCGCTTCCTTGACATCATCATTGGATGCTGTTTATGTGTTCACTCACCTGTCGTCTGTTCTGTGCTAGAAAGGGGTGCCACAAGAGCAGAGGGCGACCTTTACCCACTTTAGTCGTTGGTGTGTTTTCAGTGCTTGGGCCAGAGCCTGGCACAGGCTGGTCAGTCAGTAAGACCCGAAGCCTGTGTTCCAGCTGCTGGGATAGCTGCTTACAGTGTGTGGACAGCCTTCTTCTTCAATGGAAAGTGTTCAGCACAGGCCTTGGCCGGTTGTGAGTGCCCAGTGCTTTTGGCTTCTGCCACTCCCTGCCAGGAGCTATGCAGGAGGGAATAAGAGACTGAACTTGCACAAGTGAGCTTCTTGAGTTCTGTGCATGTCAGGCAAGTCGGTAATAACTCGCTTTGCTGAGAGCTGGGGGTGCAGGGGACAGTGGGGACAGAAGAGCCCTCTTGGGAAAGGGAATTGCTAGGCAGCTTGTGAGGCCTAGTCATGTCCTTCTATCAGCCTCGGCTCAGAGATAACTGGCAGCATGTGGGCAGGGCAGGGCATCAGTGTGGCGTGAAGACATGTTCCTGAAAGTAGGAAAGCCCTTGGGTAGGTTTCTCCCAAGGGCCTGTCAGCTCGTTGGGACACTGCTGAAGCAGGCATGTGGTGGGATCGGCTGAGCTAAGGACAGAAGGGTGTAAGATTGCTGGACAGGAGTGCTCGCTGGCAGCGGGGTAGGCCCCGTATCTAGGCTCCCAGGGTGATGGGCTTTTGTTCAAGTTCCTGGCTCACTGTGAAAGAGTTAGGTCCTATGGGGAGTGTGTGATCCCCAGGAGAGTGAATTGCAATGTCTTGAGATCCACAGTGATATCTCTGAGCTTAATGTCTCTTAAATTAAAGCCGTCTCTCTAGTTCTGCTGCTCCTCCAAGATACTTTCCACATAAGCATACAAAATCCTTTGTAACTTCAAGAAAATTGTGTTT